CTCTTTAGTTTATTTCTTCACCTCTTCTGCATCATCAAATCACTGTCTCTCTTCATTTGGGGAAACAAAAAGAAGTCGCACAGAGAGATGTCAAGTGGGTAAGTTGCGTGGGGCAAGAAAGGCATGCGATTTTTTGGGCAAAAACTGGCACAATGACATGGCTGCATCAGCAGGTGCATTGTCCTGGTGGCAAACCAGCCCCCATCTGCCAGCAATCAGGCCTCTATGGTTGCACACTCTTACCCAATCTTTTCAGAAGCTCTAAATGAAAAACCTGATTAACAGTCTGACCCGGTGGAGTGAACTCCAAATGCACTAACCCCTTCACATCAAAGCAATGAATGAATGAATATCATCTTGATCTTGGATTTCACTTGATGAGCTTTTTTGAGGCATTGGCTTGATTGATGTTTGTTTTCTGCATCCTAAGACTAGTAGCATGTTTCCTCACCAGTAATGACCTTGGAAAAAATTCTGGATCACTCCGGAGCTGTTCTCTGAAAGCACAGCATGTTTCCAGTCTACTCTTTTTGATGGACAGTCAGAACCTGAGGCACAATTTTGTAGCAGCGACCCTTCTCATTCACAAATCTGCCATTAAAATGCACTGAACTGAGCTTCAAAATTGTCCAGTTAACTTCCCCATCTCTTCAAAAGTCCAGTGTTGGTTTTTGAGTACAAGTACACAACTTCTGTCGACATTTTTGTCCATTTGCGAAGTTGATGGACTTCAAGGATGAGATTTGTCATCAATCAACATTCCACCCTTTTTGAAACAAGAAAACTACTTGTACACTTGAGGTTTCCCATAGCGCTGTCTTTGTAGGTTATATTCAACATCACACATTTTCTGTGGCATTGTCCCAGAACAGGAAGCAAAATGTCACAGCCTCATGCTGTTATCTTAAATCAACCATCATAACAATCGAGGTTCGAGCAAAATTGCTTTATGAAAAAATTCACGGTGGCTAGAGAGAATCTTCCCAGGTGATGCCAGCCACTAGGTGCATTCCGACCTAGTTACTGCTCTCCTACTGGGGAAAATGTGTACTGCAAAAGACCTGCCCAGGGGACCTTTGTTCCTTTTTTAGCGGTGGCTTGGGGGTAAGGCTTAGGGTGGAGTGGAGGGGGTAACCCCTCATATGTATATGATTTGATTTTACTAGTTTTAATTCTGATCTCTAATTCTGCTATGGGAGGTCTCAATTCTTCATTTGTGTTTTATTTGTTGATAAGTTGACCTCATCTCATTGATCTCCTTGACTATTCCTTTGTGCCTTTTCATTGTATTCTACTTTCTTCTTTGGATTTTTTTCCTCATTCCCACTTATTTTTCTATTGCTAGTACAAAGCATTTTTTGTGACATTTTCTTCTGGATCCCACACATTCTTCTCTGTTAGTAATACTGATAATTTAGCAATATAATCAATAAAATAACATTTTATACTTGCCTTTCTTGAATAGTTATCTTCTAGCCATTGTATACATTGATTTTTAATCATATTGTTATATTATAATTTATATTCTTTACTCCAGTGATTAGTAATTTGAGTTTTAGTAAGGTTGAATCAAAACCCTGCACCATGGTGGAGAGCTGGCACATACACGTATCTCACTTTGCACTACCTGTTCCAGACGTCTGCTTAAACTACATATGAAATAGAAATTTCTGAAAATCTGACAATAAATTTACTTGTTCCTAAAGGGAGTTTCAGTTCCTATAAAGCTAAATATATTTTATAAATCCCCATTCCCTCATTCCTTTCCACTTATATATGGATTTTTCAGGTTTAGCCTAAATAATTACAGTTGGGAAGGGATACATGGGAAAAAATATTACTCTGCCTCCCTCATTCAGTTACTTAAACTCATGTAATAGTAATAGCCCATTTTCTGGTTATATATTTGCTACAGCTTCTCAATTAGAGAACTGGTGATAGAATGTTTTATGAATTTACTTGTGGCCCCTATCCTCCCCACTAAAAAAATCCTCTATACTATGAATATAATACCATTTGGGAAAAAGACATTTCTCTGTCTTGTTAATAAAGTCATAGCAGTGGGGTGTGTCTTACAACTCACCATTTTTGAGATATAAAAAGAGCAGGCTAGGCATAGAAACAGCATGCACAGATGGAGAAAGATAGATGCTGCATGGTGTCTTCCAGGAACCCCTGAGAAGCAAAGGCAAGGATTTTCCCTAGAGTGGACAGTCTTCCCCTAAGGCAGTTGCCCTGAATCTAGATGTCTACACTAAACTGTGAGAAAATAAATATCTCTTCCTTAAAGCTACCACTTGGGGTATTTCTACTACAGTAACACTGGCAAACCAAGGCAGAAGGGTTTGAAGATTCTTAACTCCTTTCAGACAAAATCAAAGTTTTGCAAAACTTTGCAAAATCAAGTTTTGAAGAATACATCCATTCTTTTTCAATCCAGATAGTGTATAATGAGTGTCTAGTTGCTAGATTCTGGTGTCCTTTTAACATCAGTAAACAAACACACAAACAGAGCAAGTCCTCACTGCCATCAAGTGGACTCCAATTCATATGGACAGTCCAAAGCAGGTTTTTCACTCTATTTGTACTTCAGCTGATGTGTACTATTTATGTGGGAAGGTCGTCTTCTCACTAGCTCAGTTAGCCAATTCGAGCATGGTTTTTTGGCTTCCATTTCTATCAGTATCCATGGTAAAGAGTTAAGTGGTTGGCATGGCACCACCAGTCAGTATTCCCTTGTGGGTAATTCCTTCCTTTATTATTTCCCAAAATTGGAGATAATGAATTAGCTACAGAATGAGGGATCATGAATACAGAACATATTTTTACATTTCAGGGTATCAGTGAACTAGAGAAGAAAATTCGTTTTTAAATGGTGATATTGTATGCAAATTAATGTAAAAACTAAACATTTAAAATAGCCAGGAAGCTCAATCTGGTATAATCAAGTCTAAATAATTATCCATATTATTACTTGCATGATTCTCCAAGTTGGGAGATAAGAATTTTTTTAAAAAACACAACTATGTTATCCTATAAAACTATCTGGGGCTTTTCTGAAATCTTACCTAATGTGCTTGTCAAATAAAGACAAAGTGCAAAATTGTGAATTGATAATATCGCAGACTGTCCTCAGTTCTCAGACGTTTGCTTTTGATGCTTCCTAGGAAGAATCTCATTTAAACAGCTCATTGTGTGGATGACGTTCATATAGAAAACCACAGACACTGTGACATATTTGTCAAATAACTTAGATCTCAGTGATGACTACTGTTTTCCGGAGGTCGTGAAAAGATAGTATTTATTTGCTGTTCTCACTTCTTAGTCATACTGGAAATGTAATGGTCAATGGATTGACTAATCTTTCTAAGTAAATGTAGTAAAGCTTCATAGGTGAATAATTGATCAAATTCTGTATTTAGAAAGAACCATCACAGATTGTCCTATGTGGAACAACAGAAATTTTAAAAAGTGGTTCATAACACATGAGCAATACTGAGACATTTGGACACTAAAATTCATACATAAGTAAGTTGCTACAACTTCAAAGTCATGTCTAGTTACAGTTAAAATATATAAATGATACGGTGATGAAGTCTTAATGTGCCCTTTATGCTAGTAAATTTCAAATTATATCCTAGAGAAAACAAACATTGCCAGGGTTAAGAATCAAGCTGACAACAGGGCTAATTGTGACATTTCTTCATAATAAAAAATGTAATTGAAGAGGACTTATTAGGTCCCTAAAAGGACAAAGACAGAAACCTTGTTAACAGGAGGTCAACATGGCATCTGAGGATTCGGGCTGGGAACTAGTTAAATAAGGAAAGGAACAAAGGAGACTGTCGCCAATACCTGAGTGGTGGCAGCTCAATACGTCATGGCTGCAGGGGGATTCCAGAAACAAGAATGAGACTGTGATTGGGACCCATACATTGTTAGATGGGAGGGTTTACGAGATTGGTCCAAGGGAGTCAGGGTAAGACTGAAAGGGCATGATGCCTGACTGGGCAACCCCCTTACTGTTTCCTATAAGGTCATCTCGAGCAAGGACAACCCAGGCAAGCCCCTGAAGGGGACTGTCCCTTCTTGCCTGGGTTGGCTGCAGAGGAGTGGTAGTAATTAGACTGTCCCGCACAATGGCTCTAAGCTATCAGATGATAAACTAGAAAAACATGTTAAAATACTCCCAAAAGTTCTATAACTAAAAGTAAACAAACCCTCTTGCCATCAAGTCATGTCTGACTCATAGTGACCCTGAAGGAAAAGTAGAACTGGGCTTTTGAGTCTATAACTGTTTACCAGAGAAAAGAGCCCAGTCTTACTCCCGCAGAGCTGCTGGTGATTTCGAACTGCTGACAGGGAGGATTGCAGCGCTAAGTGTAAGGACACCACCAGGGCTCCCTTATGGGGATAGAGAGCCTTGTCTTTCTCCTGTGGAGCAGCTGGTGGTTTCCACAGGATGACCTAACACCTGACCCCACTGTGCACAGCCTAGTCCAATCTGGTCTTTTCACCTGGTGGCTTTTGAGATTCTTGCTTTCAATTCTAATTGCAATAATTCTAAGCTTCATTGAGTTTCCTAATCAATAGACTGTTTTCAGACTCTTTATTTGGGCCTGTGTGATTCTCTGCTGAAAGTTACCCTAGTTGGCCCACTGGCTTGCAGCATGCCTCTTGTCTGGAAAGTGCATGCCAACTAATGGTTCAATATTCAGCTCCTATTTACACAGAGGTCTTTCAGTATATCTGTTCCACTCTTGCACACATATACCCATGTGTCTAACTTGCTATGATAGAATGAAAACACCTCAAATGTAGTTTCTCTGCTTTAATTATTATTATTACTTTATCTTAGAAATTTTTAAGCTCAAGAGTAATAGAAGATGCTTAAGAAATGTTTGCTGAATGGGTGGATGAAGTAACCGATGTTTATACCTGAGTTTCCAATAGGCACTGCAGATGGAAGTCGTATTGTTTCATGACTGTTGAGAGGCACTGTCTGGAAAAGAGAAAAAGGAAAAGTTGAAAATTGAGTGGGAAACCTTCACTCATATGTTCATTACCACATTTATCACAAGTTCGGTTTTATCCATGATTACACGGTATGAAAAATGTTACTGTTGACATTATTTTAAAAATCATTTCAGGTGGGTGTCTTATGACACCTTTTTAAACTTCATACATCATAGATACCATTGATGTATGTATCATTCATGAAATCCATGAGAAATTAGTTAATATTTGCAAAGACTGAGCATTATATCTTCTCTCAATTTAAAAATTAAGTTGAGAAAAGATTCATGAACAGAGAGTTGCCAGTAAGAAATGACTAGTAAACAAATCGCATAAGGGGTACATTAAACGACGAGCATATATTTAGACTAGATAGGATCGTACCTGACATAGACGGTGTCAGCTTTTCTTTCCTCACCTACGCTCACTGTCCCAGCTTTATCTGTGCTCCAGTGGGTGTAAACTATTTCCCTAATTATTATTGACTATCTCTTCCAATTTTTCTTAAAACATAGAAATTCTATTAATGAGTCATAAAACACCATGGAACATTAAAAATCAATGTATTTTTGAAGTAGCTACTTTTTTTTCTTTTATTATTCACCTATTTAGTAGAAATTCCTCTTTCCATTTAAAAGCAAAAAAATAGAATATGTAAAACTCAAAAAAAGTGTATTACATATTGAATTGTATCTCTTTAAAATATGTTAGAACGCAGACCCTTATATCCAACCCCAATATATAACTCCTATATATGGAACATAATTCTGTTTAGAAACAGGGTCTCCTTTGTTATTTCAATGATAATAAACCCAGGTATGCTCTAAATCTAAATATTTCTAAGTTATAAAAGTAACAGAGTGGACACAAAGAAGGAGTATCCACAGGGGAAGACACTGTGATAGTTAGGACAAACAGTGAGTAAGAGAGGGCTGTCTGCCAGAAAAAGAAAAGCAAGAATTGGGGTAGTAAAGGGTCCTTGGTGGTGAGGTTGGTTAAACATTACCTGTTAGCTGCAAAGTGATGAGGTTCAACCCACAAGGTTAGATGCATCTGTAAGTGTACAATTTCGGAAACCCTGTATTAAATTGTTATCAGTCAGAGTGGACTGAATGTCAGGGGCTCCCAGAAAGTAAAAGAGAAACTCCTAGGTAGAATCCATATGGCTGAGGCCCTAATTTGAATTTTTAGCTTTCAAAACGGTTAAAAGATAAATTTGTTTCTAAAACCACCCACCTACTTACTTTTGAACACTGAGATAGGTAGATAGATCTATTTCACAATAGGCTCTACCACTTTGGCTGCTTATTTTGAGCTTCCCCATTGTCTTCTCATAGATGTAGTCAATTTGACCTCTGTGTATTCAATTGGCATAGTCCATGAACAGTCATCATGTATGTTGTTGGACCAAAGTGTTCACAATGAAAAGTCAGTGGCCTTGTATAATTCAGTCAAGTGATCTCCAGCTTCACTTTAATCACCATGACCAAGATCATATTTTCTAACTTCTGTCTCTTCTTTTTTAACCGTATTTTTCATTCTAATTACTAGTAATTATCAATACAACTTGATTCAAAATTTTATCAGTTTCAGACTGAAGAGTTAGTAGAATTCTTTGATGTCTGCTTTGCTGGCTTTAGTGGTAGGAATCTATATTTATGTAACAGTTGTATTTATGATTTCTTTATAGGCATATAGATGCTAGCTTATCATAGATAATATTATACTTCAAGATATATCTTTAAATGTTATTTTTGCTGATGAATGATATGCCATTCATTTCTTTTGAATTTGGCATTCCTGTCTAATTCAAAATGGCCAATGCCAGTCTCTTTCAGCTTACCAGTGCCTAGGATAGCACTTTATATTTCCATTTATTTTTTGACAACTCCTAATTTCCCTAGATTAATACCTTGCACAGTCCATGTTGTGAATATTAAATGATGATTGCGACTGTTTCCTCATATCTGAGTTGTGTTCAATCAGCAAACGAAGGTACTGAAAGCTTTCCTCCCTCTCCATCATTACGGCGGACTCTACTTTGAGAAGACAGCTCCTCCTCAGTCCTAGTGTGAGTGCTTTCTGACCTAGGTAGATCTCCTAGCACGATCCCTGACTGGATTATTGCTGGTCATAAGGTTTTTAGTGGACACTTTTTCAGAAAGTATCCTTCATATTTTGTTATTCTAGAAACTTCCCTGAAATCTGTTCATCTTGAGTGATTTCCCTAGCATTGAAAATACCCAGTGACATAGTTTGCAGCATCACAGCAAAAGGCAAATGAGTACAATATGACAAACTGACAGACAAGTGGTGGTTGAAGTTGAAGATAATTAGAGTAAGTATGCAACAGTAAGAATAAGATCTTGAGTATTTCCCACCTAAATGTTGTGCATGTCTCAAGAACAGATTTGAAACAAGAAACTCTGAGGACAAAAGTCCTAGCAAGCTGTCAGATGACATCAAGAACACCACACATGATGAAAGGTCATTAAGTGATCAATCAATGGTCATTAAAAAGAAAAAAGAGAGAGAGAAGATAAAAGGTAATGTCAGAAGAAACTCTTGAACTTGCTCTTGAACATAGAATAGATAAAGCTAATGGAAGAAATGAAGAATTAGAAGAGTTAACTATAAAATTTTAAAGGGCAGCATGAGAAGAAAAAGTAAGATATTATAATGAAATATGCAAACACTTGTAATTAGAAAGCCAAAATAGAACACATTAGACATATTTCATGTTGAAAGAATTAAAGAAAAGCTCAAACCTTTAGTCAAGATAGTGAAAGATTTTATGAGGAAAATATTGAATGATTCATGAAGTATGAAAAATATGGAAAGAATACACAGTCACTGTATCAAAAAGAACTAGTCAACTTGCCACCCTTTTAAGAGATTGCATATGATCAAAACTTAATGATACCAAAGCAAGAATTTCAAGCTGCACAGGAGGCTATAACAGAAACCAAAGCTTCTGGAAAGGATGATATACCAATTAAAATGCTTCATCAAACTCATGAAGCTGTGGAAGTATCACTCATCTATGCCAACAACCAATCAGAAGATATCTATATTCACACCTATTTAAAAGAAAGGAGGCCTCCCATAATGCAAAAATTTTGAAACAGTATTATTAATAGGATGTACAAGAAGAATTTTGCTGCACAGAATTCAACAATAGTCGTACTATACATCAATAGGAACTTCTAGAAATTCAAGCTGGATTCAGAAGAGGACTTGGAATGAGGAATATCACTGCTGATGTTGGATAGGTCATGGCTCAAAGCAGAGAATGCCAGAAAGATTATTCCTCAGGTTTATTGACAATGCAAAGGCTTCTCATTTGTGGAACATATCAAACTCTGATTAACAATCAGAAGAATGAGAATTCCATAAGACTTCAATGTGCTCAAACAGAAAGCTGTACATGAAGCAGCCACTTGAACAGAACCAGAGGACACTTCATGGCTTAAAATCAGGAATAATGTGTATCAGGGTTTATACACTTGCCATACTTATTCAATCTTTAAGCCTAGCAAATAATCCACTAATCTGGATTATATAAAGAATAACACAGCATCAAAATTCAAGGAACAATTAGTAAAAACCTGTGATATGCAGATGACACAACTTTAAAAACATGTGATACACAAACAACACAACCTCATTTCTTGAAAGTGAAAGGAACAAGAAACATTTGCTAAGGAAGGTTAAAGACTTAAGCATTTTGTAGGAATTACTACTCAATATAAAGAAAACCTCATAGGTGGAAGAATACATAACATCATGATAAATGAATCAAAATTGAAGTTATCCGGGATTTCATCTTGCTTGGATTCGCCATTGATGCTCATGGAAGCAGCAGTCAAGAAATCAAATAATGTATACCAATAGGCAAATTTGTTGCACTAGACTAAAGTATTGAAAAACAAGGATGTCACTTTGATGATCAGAGTGCAACTCACCTAAGTCCTGGTATTTTTATTTGCCCCATACACATGGAAAATTTGGACAATGAATAAGAGACTCTGAAGGAGAATCCATACATTCTAATCTTTGTGTTGGTCAAGACTATTGAAAATACCGCGAACTGATAGAATGAGAAAGAGTTAGACAGAATTAGAAAGTCTAACCAGAATGTTTCCTTAGATGCAAAGGTAATGAGATTTCATCTCATGGACTTTGGTATGTTATCATGAGAGGTCGGTCCTTGACAAGGACATCATGCTTGCTGAAGTAGGCTGGTCAACATAAAAGAAAAAGAGCACCAAGGAGCTGGATTGACACAGTGGCTTCAACACTGTTCTCAAACGTGGTCACAATGGAAAAGGTACAGCTCATAAATTCTCTATGCATTTGAGTAGGCTCTGGCAACTAACAACAAGAAGACAGGTAGGAACTGAAAATACAGGGAATCCAGGACGGATGAGCCCTATAGGACCAGTGGTGTGAGTGGCAAAACAGGGAGGGTAAAGGGAGAATGGGTAGGAAAGAGGGAACTGATTACATGGAACTGTGTGTGACCTCCTCCCTGGGGGACAGACAGCCGAAAAGTGGGTGAAGGGAGACGTCGGACAGGGCAAGATATGACAAAATACCCATTTATAAACTATCAAGGGCTCATGAGGGAGGGGGGAGCGGGGAGGGAGGGGAAAAATGAGGGCCTAATGTCGGGGGTTTAAGTGGAGAGAAAATGTTTTGAGAAACGATGTACAAATGCGCTTTACACAATTGATGTGTGTATGGATTGGGATAACAGTTGTATGAGCCCCTAATAAAATGTTAAAAAAGAAAAAAAGAATTAACAGAAACAAATATGAAATGAAAAGCCAACAGGCAAGGTTCCTGTCACATCTCTGAAATCGAAAGCAGTAAAAGCCAAGTCAAATAATTATTTGATTTTTCTGTTGAAACATTAAAAAAAAAAAGAAGAAGAAGACAAGTAGGAAAGGGAGAGCAAAGGTTGGTATAAGCATTTTTATATAAACCTTGATCTGAAAAGACACTTGAGAGCGCACAAGTGTCAGCACTTGGCTATCAGACATTATTCGTTAGAGAACGGGTTGCTAACCAAAAGACCAGCAGGTAAAACCCACCAGCCTCTCTATAGGAGAACTATGTGAGTTTCTGAATTATAGCCTCAAATCCACCAGGGCAGTTCTACCCTGCTCAACAGGGTCACTATGAGCTAGATTCCAACTCAGTGGCAGTGCGTGAGTGAAGCTATGTGAATTGTAGGAAGTATGAAATCATGCCTTCCTCTACCCCATTTCTTGATCTTTCAACGAGACTGAAATACAAATACTGAATACTTTCAACGAGACTGAAATAGATTAAACTGTGACCCCTCCAGTTGCTTGTCATCTTGGCTGGGCCACGATCCTCAGTATTATGTAATATACCTAATTTTGTTATATGATGTAATTATCTTATGTGTTGTAAATCCTGACTTCCAAGATGAAAATGAATCATGATTAGATATAATTATGTGAAGGAGGTGCCTTTCAGTCTAAAAGATTAAGTTACATGTTGAGCCAATCTCTTTTGAGTGATAAAAAAGTTTAGACAAACACACAGAAATCAGAGGGAAATATTGTTATCAACAAATGGGAGCCAGGAGTGGAGAACATCCTTTGGACACTGAGACTACAATCTTGTAGAGGTCTGCAAGTCTGATGTAGGTCTCTAAGGAATTCCTGGACCACGAATGTTGAAAGGAGGCCTTCCCTAGAGCCTAAAGAAAGAGAAACCTTATCCTAGAGCTGGTGCCTTAAATCCTAGGTGGTATAATCATTACATGGAAGCAGCACACCAACATGTGTGATCATGAAGGGCCGAAGGGACCAGGCTTCAAACACCAAAGGTG